AAAAAAAGGAAAAATAACTATAAAACTTCAAACTCAAAAACATTAATTTGGAATTTGGCTGAAATTTACATGTATATTATCCATAAAGAAAATTTACTAAGCAAATTAACAGTGCAAATTACAGTGTAAACAATTAAACAACTTCAAAAAATCATTTCAAACATCAAAATTATGCTAAAAATGGCTGGGCATGTGGCTCAAGACTGTAATCCCAGCACTTTGGGAGGCCGAGATGAAAGGGTCACTTGAGGTCAGGAGTTCAAGACCAGCCTGGCCAACATGGTGAAACTCTGTCTCCACTAAAAACATAAAAAAATTAGCTGGGTGTGGTAGTGGGTGCCTGTAATCCCAGCTACTTGGGAGGCTGAGGCAAGAGAATCGCTTGAACCCAGGAGGCGAAGGTCGCAATGAAATGAGATCGTGTCACTGCATTCCAGCCTGGGTGACAGAGGACTCTATCTTAAAAAAAAAAAAAAAAATTTGATATGCTAAAAGCAAACAATTCAAATATCTATTAGATTAAATTTGTTAAGGAAAGGATCTTGCCTTAATCACCTCTGATTTCTCCAGGAGGCACTCAAATATTTATTAAATCCTGTTATCTAATAATCAAAAGAAATTTCTCTAGGGTTTCTCCTAGGCAACACTTATTTTGTCTAGAGTTCATTACTATATCCGCTTGAAAACAATGAAATTAAAAATTTAAAAGAAGGCATGCCTACAAAATTTAACTGTTCAGAAAAAGGCAAAAAAAACATCCTATTTCCACAACCTGGAGTCTTCCCAACTTCCCCAGCACTGTTTGTGCCTCCCTTAATTACCTACACGCGAATTTTGGGGTATGTGTTACTTCCCCTATTCGACTATGACCTCTCTGAGGGCTAAGATCATGAGTGAACTAACACTCCCAAAGTACCCTGCTTGATGCCTTGAGCTTAGAAGCCATCTGACAATCATCTGAATAGCTTTCGCATTTGCCAACCCTCCTTCTATAAGAGTAAATCTAGTTATCAGACAGTCATTCATTCTCAGGTCTAGGGAAGAGTATTAGGTCAGTTCTTTTGCCCATTCAGAGTGAATACTGTAGGAGTATTTTTCCACGCTCATAAACTGGCTCAAATAGTAATTCCCTCCTTCCCAAAAAAGAGTTCTGAAACAGTAAGTGTAACTACATAGCACACAGAAAATACTCGATTTTTTTCAATCATTTTGGAATTTAGCCTTCGAAGGCAAACACTGAAAAGAAATAAAACTCATAAATATACAAGATCTAATGTATTTTAAAGTCACTGTCTTTCTTCACTTCTAGAATTGTACAGCAGATATTTTTCAATACATCCTGTTGTCCCCACCCTCAATTTTTTCAATTTAATCCAAATCATAAAACTTCCCTTTATTCTATAATTCTCCTGACTAAATATGACGTCACATTTTATTTTGCTCTTCCAAAACTACCTACTTAAAATAATGTTTTCCACAATCCTTATTTCATCAGGGCCACTCTGTATAGTTAGTGGATTCTCGTCCACACACCTTACTTTGCAAACTGTCACGATATGATGGTTGCGCAATAGTATTCCATATGTACCTCCATCCTGAGTCACATGGATAGGTAACAGATGGACTGAACGTAAGACGACAAAGACAGAAGCTGGTATGAAATTTCACACCCTGGAGTTTGGACTGCTTGCCTTCCAGGCACAGAGCAATGTCTAAGCAACACACTGCTGAGATCCTTTGTAGTCTCTGCTTTGACATCCAAACTTCACAGAGTTCTGATTCACCAATACTTAAAGACTCTCACTACTACGTTCTAATTTAACAAAGCTCACACTTTAGACTATTTCAGGCACAGGAAGTATGAGCAGAACTCAGAAGTATGATAACAGAGAGAATGAGGGTACCATGAAGAGGAAACACAAAAGAGTGGCAATGGACGAAACGAGGGAAGGAAAAGGGCACAGCCAGCTTCTAGATTCAAAACCAAACACGACTGTGCCTTCCTGACTGCTGTTCCCACATACCATCAACTAGCCAAGACAGGGAAGTCAATTACCAGCCTCAGCCATTCCTGAAATAGGGATTAAATTTATACCTCATAAATCTGTTAATGGAAACATTCTCAACTTTTTTCTTGATTTTTACAATGTATTTGTTGTTTCTATAATGTCCCTTTAGAAGGCATCCTGACTATGAAACCAGATACTTGGATTTTAATTCCATACCTACCCCACGGAGAGTTACAAGCCTTAAAACTACAGCATGTCTTGGTAATTTTAGGAATGTTACTTAAGTTCACTTGGCCTCCCTATCTTCATCTGTAAAATACAGAAAATGCCCCTTGTCTCACAGTGCTGCTGAGAGGAATAAATGAGTCAAGTAACATAATGCACAAAGAAGCCAATTCAGTGTCCCTTGAATAGTATTAAGTGCTCATCACAAACTAATTTATACATTACATTCATATATACATTTAAAAAAACAGCAGTGATGGTGAGAGAAGTGATGGGCAGTGTAACAAACGTAATCTACTTTGACTCCATATTTATCAGCTCTTATTGCTATCTTCATACATTCTATCCTTACAGTACCATGTTAACAAACTTGATGTTACACAATTTAGACTAAATCAGAAAAGGTAGAATTTCTGTGGAAAGAAGAAAGCAGTCTTATTGAAGAGGTTTCTCCTGCTAGAGCAACTAAACATTCTGTAGTCCAGATAATTCTGGACAATTCTGGGAAGTGATATCTGACTAAAATAAACATGAAACCTCTTCAAAACACTTAAATTCCATGGATACATGTAAAGAACAAAATGACCTGGACAGAAGAAAGGTGAAAATGAGACCCACTCCAGGTCACTCTCAATGTCATTAAATTTAAAAGGAAAAATTCTATTCTCCCCCTACTCTCTGAAGTCTCCTTTGTCTACAGTTGGAAAAAGTTATTAAGAGTATATCTAATTTCATTTACAAACTCACATAAAAGTATATTTGGTTAGTACTGTTAAATTTGTGTTTTAAAAAAATTGCAGTGGGTCTTAATAACTGTTACCCTGGCAAGAAATATGAAACGAGACTAACACCTTTCTCATAAACTTCACTGAGTTGACACAGAGTTTTGCGTATGAAAAATTAGAAAATTCTCAAATGGCACAAATGCAAGGAATTATTGTTTATGACAATAATATAGCTTAGCAATTATTTTGGATAACTTGAAGGCCAAATATCACAAACAGCACATCTATTTGACATTGCCCTGAATTACATCTGTATCTTTTATTAGTATGTCTTTCAAAATACACCTTGCTTACAATAGATCTCCTTGGCATATTCTGGACCTAAGAATAATATGCTGAATAGCAAAGAAAAGTCACAAATAATGTACAAAGTCTGTAACAGACCTAAAATCTAAATCTGAACATATTTCAAGAATTTCCGTTAACTCTTTCCATATTGCAAAATTAGCCCAATCCTCAATTTCTTTACCCCCAATTTGTTTTCATTAGTTCCCAAAGACTATCAAAAGAAGGAAATACCTAGATCCTCGCAGGAATCCAATTTAATTGTGTGTGTAGAGCTCTACCATTATTGGCAAATATTCACTATTCTTTAATACTACTCTTTTCTTATCCTTTTTTTTTTTTTTTTGAGACAGAGTCTCACTCTGTCACCCAGGCTGGAGTTCAATGGTGCAGTTTCGGCTCACTGCAGCCTCCACCTCCTGAGTTCAAGCAATTCTCCTGCTTCAACCTCCCAAGTAGGTGGGATTACAGGCACCCGCCACCACACCCGGCTAATTTTTGTATTTTGAGTAGAAATGGGTTTCACCAAGTTGGTCAGGCTGGTCTTGAACTCCTGACCTCAAGTGATCCCCCCGCCCTGGCCTCCCAAAGTGCTGAGATTACAGGCATGAACCACCACATCCGGCCTTTTCTTATCCTTTATTCACACTAAAATATTCTCTAGGACCAAGGGAGAAAAGATCTAATCAGGAAACATTTTTCATTGATGATCATAAAAACCACAGAAGTATTTTACCTGGCCTCCATCAAACCAACTCACAGAATTCAAGTTCTCCTTTCCTCTGTAAGGCTTACCGACTGAAACCAGGGCATACTGAATCCTCATGGCTAGCTGGATATCTTCCAGAATGCTGATGCTTACTCTGAGTCAGTTGTATTCATTCCCAAGCCTGTTCATGCTATTATAATATTACTGTACTTTTAAACAGTAAATAAACTAATGCAAAAGAGTGAAAAAGAAAAAGCTGTTGTTTCCACAAACATTAAGTGGATGATTTAAAAAAAGAACTTGGTAAAGATAAGTTCCTTTACAAAACTGTCACAAAACAAGGTGTTCACAAGATAACAGTAAAAGATGGGAGGTTTTGCTAAAATCTAGGATTTCGCACACATTGACTGATTCACAGGTGCTTACGCTTCTACCTCTACTCAAACTAAAACTGCAAATTTTACATGACCCATTATTGATAAAGTTTATGCCAAAAAAGATACTTCAGGACTCCAAGTGGCAAATACAAACTCAAAGAAAAAGTTTGGGATTGCATCAAAAGATCAGAGGAGGAAGGAAAACACATATATTTTCAGTTAAAACACTGAAGGTGTGTTTATATGTATGGTTTTTCACAATTTCCTCATCTAATTTTTCAATTAGCTACATTTTTTTCAATAAGCATTTCATAAGAGGGCACTGATTGTGAGTGGTAGCATTCTCTTCCAACATTAAAAAGGCCAAAAGAAAAGAAACCATTCATTGCAAGCTAGAATTATTTACTATACCTTTTCCTTTTGAATCCATGAAGAAAAGATCAAGAGAGAGAAAGAAAAGCAAGATATCAGTTCACAAATTCAGAGAAAAGACAGGTAAAAAAAATTCAAGAATATCAGTGACAAGCTTCAGTTATCTGTGGGAATGATACTAAACATGATGAAGTGATGTCTCTAGCATTTATTACGTTCTGCTACATTATGGGGAAAATGCATAATACTCTCATTATAGCAAAGTAAGTAAATCCATGTTTAAGTGAGATTAAAAAAAAAAACAATTTCAAAAAGATAATCTACTAAAGCATATTAACCACCCCAAAAAAAGGGAAGCCGAGAACTTGGGGATCTTTATTAAGATTTGGACTTTTGAGACTCTGTATAAGGTAAGTACCAATACATTTTTTAAATGCTACATGCCCATAATTACTTAAGACTAGGCAATAAACATCAGTCTTTAAGAAACTTATAATGATTTCTATCTTAATGAACCGGGCCTCTGCTTCAAAGAGGAACATTTAATACTTAAACAAGTATAGTTCTTCCTGCTACACTTTCTCCTATGATCAACACAGATGTTTAACAGCGATGAGATCTAACCCAGGCCTCCAGACACTTTATAGTATTATTACTCTGCCATTGGTTCCTAGGCTTTCAAGCATATTGTAATCCATTCGCTAAAACACATTGTCCAACCATCTGATTCCTATAAACAGTAATGAGTAAAGTTTATTAACCACACTATTAATACACAAAGCACAACCACAATATTATGATTCTTTCTCAAAATGTTCACTTTGGCATACTTTCTTTTCCATGAGGCTGTAATGAAAGATTATTATTTCCTCATATCTACAAGAAAGCTGCTGGGGTTTTAAAAAACAAAAAAAATCTGAAACCAGGCCCAAGGAAATTGAAAGGACAGTATCAAAAGACAATGTTCTCTTTTTTAGTTTTTGTTTGTATTCATTTTTTAAATTTGTTTGCAGTAATCTATACACGGGCTTGGTTATAAGCAGTCACACATTCTCATAACACTGAGAAGAAAGGAGTGTTAAAGCAGACAGAGGTGAGGAAAAGTGAGTACTGGTAAGTGGGAACAAAAAGCCAACATGCAATCTGCTGACAAACACATGCATTATGACCTATTCTCATTCACCTTCGTTCTTGTATTCTTTTCTTCCTATCTTAGAATTTGCCTTCTTTTCTCTCAGGATAGCAGAATTGCTTGGAATAGTAGAAATACACTTATCTAGGATTCAGCATTCCTCAATGAACTTGGCTGAATCTGGCTCTGTGCATCTCACTTAACCTCTCTGGTCCTCAACAGCCTCAGATGTAAAATAAGGAGACTGAACTAAATGACCCCAGAGGATTCTTTTCCAAAATTCTGTTTATCTAATATTAATTATGCCCCACAGGAAGACCACCATTCTGAACACCTGACAGGCGAGCAGGCTGACAAAAACTTTTCTAGAGGCATTAGATAATACATATCAAAAGTCCTTAATGTTCATCTTCTGATCCAAGCAATTCCACTTTCAGGAATATCTGCCCTAAAAAAGTAATCATGTACACAGAGATGTAGTAACAAAAACGTTCCTCACACTACTGTATGTTTACAAACAATTTAAATGTCTCATAGTAGGAAAAGACTAAGTTAATTAGGAAGAATCGACTTAATGGAATACTATGTAGACATTAAAAATGATGTTACAGACAAAATACATAATTGCAGGAAAATATACTCATGATAATGAAAAGCAGGTTACAAATGAACATGATCCCATTTGAGGATGTACATATACACACATACAGGTACAGAAAAAAGACTAAAAGGTTACATACAAAAATGTTAGGGATTATTCCTGGGTGGTAGGACTTGGTATATCTTCAACTTTTCACTCATCTATATTTTCTGAATTTTCTACTATGAATATATATCAACTATAGAGGTTTTAAAAAGTCTTTTTCAATCAATTCTAAGTTCTTTCAAAAGAATTACAATTTTGTTTCTACTCTTCTGGTCCCCAAACAATAAAACTCTATTATTTAAATCAATTACCTTTGAAAAGTCTACATTTTACAATTACATTTTAAATAAAGCTTTTGTCATAATACAAAAGTTGTAACAGTAAGTCAAATCATTCAAAACCAACAGAAAATAACTAGTTATCCATTCATATAGTAAACAAGGATGCGAGGCCCCACAGAAATCAAATTGTCGTTCTGCTATTAAGTATTCTCAGGTAATCCTTATAAAATATTCTATAGATTCCTTACTAAAAACAGTGTCATCAGAACTTCCATTTAAAAGAGATGAAATGACTTAATATCCAGAAAAGAACACTAAAAATGACCCTCGCAAAAAAACTAATCGTTTTTATTTTTTAATTTTATTTATTTATTTATTTATTGGTGACAGAGCGAGACGATGTCCCAAAAAATATTATTTTTTAATTTTTAATTTGTATTTATTATTTATTTGAGACAGTGTCTCGCTCTGTCACCCAGGCTGGAGTGCATGGCGCGACCTCCACTCACTGCAACCTCTGCCTCCCGGGTTCAAGCAATTCTCCTGCCTCAGCCTCCCAAGTAGCTGGGATTACAGGTGCCTGCCACAACACCCAGTTAATTTTTTGTACTTTTTTTTTTTTTCAGTAGAGACGGGATTTCACCATGTTGGCCAGACTGGTCTCGTGCTCCTGACCTCAGGTGATCCACCTGTCTTGGCATCCCAAAGTGCTGGGATTAAGCGCATGAGCCACCGTGCCCGGCCTCAACAATCTAATAGTTTTTAAATTTGAAAAAAAAAAGAACAAAATATTCCACTCATACATCAAATTCAAAAGCAAAGAAGGTTTAATGAAACTACAGTTATTTAGTCTCAGGTAGAAAAAAAATGAGAAAATACAACTATCTTCTACTACACAAATAAAACTAGTTCTCTTTTCAAGCAAGAAAGCAATGTGATTTCAGGCCAAAAAATTGTCAGTTTAGAGCAATTTACAATGGAAATAAAAAAGAGCTCATTGTCAGTGAGAGTTCCTGAAATCACTGAGAAAGCCTGGGGAAGCTGTTTTCCTGAAGATCTTTTAGAATGCCCACTATTAAAACATGATTCAGAATCAAAAATCCCCACCACCACCAATTGGAGGCAGATGGGATGATAACCCCAGGTTCCTTTCAACTTTATTCTTTTTGTCTAGGTTTGCAGAGACAGTCAATAGATGTGACAGCTTATAAATTCATGAAGAAGAAAATAAACTTGCAATAAGCAGCAAAACAAAGCTGTGAGTCAAATAACTCTTAGTTATAAAAATGTTAGGCTGGGTGCGGTGGCTCACACCTGTAATCCCAGCACTTTGAGAGGCTGAGGCAGGCCGATCACGAGGTCAGGAGTTCCAGACCAGCCTGGCCAACATGGTGAAACCCTGTCTCTACTAAAAATACAAAAAGTCAGCTGGGCGTGGTGGCACATACCTGTAATCCCAGCTACTTGGGAGGCTATGGCGGGAGAATCGCTTGAACCAGGGAGTCAGAGCTCGCACCATTACACTCCAGCCTGGCTACAGAGCAAGACTCTATCTCAAAAAAAAAAAAACAAAAAATTGACTGCTACTTTTCAAGTTTTTCTGGTTTTGTTCAAGAAAATAAAGTACACTATATAAACTGTGAATAAAGAACATTATAAAACCCAAAGGACACTTAATATTTAAAAGCAGGAAAGCACTTAGAAAATTTACCAAATATTAAAGCCAATCCATGAGATGTACCCACTGCTATCAGACTGGACACTGCCTGAAAACAAAAGGGAAGATGACATTTAAGATATTACATTAAGAATCTTGAAATAATCAGAGTTGAATTTGTTGGCCTTCTTCCTCTAGGCACCAGATGACATACAAACTATTATAAATAAGAAGAGTTTCATCCAGGAGGCAAAGCGGGAAATGAAACTTAGGACATGTATTTCTGATAATCCCTCTAAATTTACTCTAAGAGTAACATTATCAAAATATCATATGTTTAACATTACAGGCAATAACACGCCACTCAGCTTCCTCTAAAGCAACTTTCAACTAAAAAATCAGGGGTCCAGGCAAAGAAGCACTTATGCTGCTCAACCAAGAGCTTCCTACAAGGTGTGGGGAAGAGGTGAGAACACACTTCTCTAGTTTATCCACAGGAGCCTAAAGGTATCCAAAATGTTCAAAACTCACCCACTTCCTCACCAAATGACTAAAAGGAACGCTACAAGCGGCGCTGGAGGAAGACAAGACGAGATAGTACCAGCGTGCTTTCGATATGCACTAGTTCTCTGCAACACTCCAACACAGTTCTAGTTGGCAAGCCTGGCAATGGAATCCAGAGCTGTTAAATGTACTATTTACCGCGAAGGGATTCCATCAAATGATGCCTTCCACTCCTTGTGGAAGGGGAGCCAAATCACAGAAGCAGCAAATTTACCTGGGCAGGGTGGTACCACAAATAAAACAAACCTGGAGAAGGCTAATATTACCCCACTATCTGCTTCTCAAACAGAAGCCTCAAAAGTAACAAAATGCTAGGAAAAAAGAAAGCATTCAACATGGACGAATGTTAAACCCGATTACTGGCCGTAAAATGACTTATGAATTTATTATCATAATAATTTATGTAACACTTTGAGCAATGTAATAATACATCGAAGAAACACCAATCAAATAAAAAGCTTACCTTTAAAAAGTTAAAGTATACTTACAATTGCTGTAGGCAAGCCGGCATCTACTTTGTCCTAAAAGAAATTTTAAAGAAAGTATTTGAAAAATACAGAAAATGGTATAAGGCTCTTGCTTTACATATACTTTGGTCCAAATCAATTTAGATAAGAGGCAGAACCTTTATTTCTGCCCCCAACTAAGAGAAATCACAAAAGCTATATATATAGCAACAAAATACAAAGGGGATGAAAGAGGATTGTTTTATTTTACTGAGTACATCGGATGCCCCAGGAAGGGTACTGATTATAATGGCAATGCAAAAGAAAAAGACGAAAGATGTTCCATTTTCTATAATTTGAATAAACCGTAAGTACTATGGGGACAAAACTGCAGGAGTATATAGATTAGAGGAAAGTAAACATCTAAAATGTTCCTACTACTAAGTAGGACTTTCCTGTCTAGCAATCACCCAATAACCTCTAAATAAACCCCAACAGGGTACATTAAGTCAGTTCTCAGATAAGAAAATAAAACATCATATAGAAGTACTAGTCTCAGCTCCTTATCAGAAGCTATATGGCATTCAAAGGTCACCTAACTTTTCTGAACATTAGTCTTGTCACCTGTTCAAAGAAATAGCAAATACTGCCCTATTTACCTCAATGAGCTGTCCTGAGGATCAAATTAAATGTGAAGAATGAAATAAATATGTAAGAGTATCAATTCTAAGCTTACATAGCTTCAAAGAATCCTGAGTTTGTAGTGACGCAGTACTGCAGTAGCAAAGAGCTTGCATATACAGACATTACACTGCTTGATTCTCAACCCAGAAGAGATGTATAGAATGGGTAGTATTATTCTGATTTTCCAGATTTAAAAAACAGACATTTCCAAGAGTTTAACTGACTTGACCAAGGGTGCTCAGTTAAGTGTTAGAGCTATGTCTGAAACTCAGAGCTTCCAATTCCCAGGACAGGCTTCTTTTAGCACTTCCACATTTTCTTTTCTATGTCTGTCCTTGCCAGTGTGGTCAATTATTATCCTCTCTCAAAAGGCAGAATCTGTTTCACCAACTCTGTAGAGCTTCCTGAGAACCAACTTAAACTTACTCCAGGACACGGAAACACGAGAAAAACAAAGATCAAGGCTGCTATACACGATGCTCTGGATGGCAGCATGTGTCCAACTTTGTGTGTATATATCTGAGTGTCAAATGTGCCTAACATAACGCTCAGCAATTAAGAAGCATGTAAAACATATTTCATCAATGACGGATCTGCATCTAGACAGGGAAAAAGAGACACAGGACAGCAGATGAAGGTCATAAACTCTAGTAAGACCTCACCTAATGTCAGTAAGTTCTTGGAAACTGTGGCTCGAAGCGAAACAACGTAAACCAATTGTTTCTTCTTCTAACACTGTAACAAAATCATGTTACTCGAAGGCCTGTTCTAGATTCAAAATAGAACCTGAATAATGAAATCAGAAGTCACCCAACTTTAAAAGCTAAAAAAAACACAGATGTTTGGAAGCATTGTAGAGATTACAGAATTTTAGTACTGCTGTTGAAATATCTGCGTGTAGTGGGTCTCAAAAGCCAAAATCAGGAGAAGCACCTGGGATGCCTGTATGCCTGGGATTCAGTAGGTCTGGGATGAGCCCCCAGGAACCTGCAATGTAATCAGCACTCTAGGAGATTCTTATACAGTGGACGCAGTTTGAAAAAAACACTACGCTAACGTATCTCTAGTGTCTTTAAGTTGATCATAAAAGTAATAAAGATCCTTAAAAAGTTGCTTTGAATTATTTTAAAGTATAGTCACATGTCATATTACTTTGAAAAGGATTCCAAATTTAAAAATGAGCTTCACAACTCCAAAAATTTCCTCTCTCCTGTTTTCCATGCATGAACCCCAAAACTGTGATGATCAAGGCCCACATCAGCCCTAATAACATCACTAACCACATGGCTGAAGGCGCTATTGAGCAATTATTCAGGGAGAAATAGCCAAAAATATAACTAGCTTTACATGTTAATAAACCAACCATCACAGGAAAGCATACAATTTAAATGGAGCTGGTAATCCAAAAATAGGAAGGCACCGTATGATGACTGCCACAGGAAAGGCAGTTTTCATTTTAACATACCAAAGGAGCTCAGCCATAGCAATGAAATAAAAGCAGAATGCAAACACTCTGGGATTTATTAGAATTTCTCCTCCTCTTCAAGGGGAAGGAGAAACCCTTTGCAATAACAGATTTATCTAATCATTGCTCAGAGTCTGAGTTTCAGCTCAGTCTCCATTATTCAAAATATTTTTAAAACTGCACAGGTGGGTCAAATGACTGTTCTGGTTCATCTTGATTTTGAAAGGAATTAATTTCATCACCTACATAAGGATTAAATTCAGTAAACGTCATAGAAATGTAATCCTCAACAGGTGGTTCCCATTCTAGCAACTATAAGTTACTCTCCATCTAAAAGAGGAAGAACACTTGCCCAGGTTTTCTCCATGGCTTGAGCATCTCTCTATTTAAATTGACTTCATGATATATGAGCTAGGTCAGGATACACCAACTGTCATAGTAAATACTTTTTTTTTTTTTTTTTGGTATAAGTACAAAGGACTTTTTCTGATTAACCTGAAAATTTAAGTGCAATTATAGTATCTTATAATTCTATATCAATCTTTCAACCACTTGAAAAATACAAAGATTTATCTCTTATCCAACTTGAATATGCAAAATGCCAATTAAATGCCCCAAAAAGTACATAAAGACACATCAAACTTCCTGGAGTATAAATCTGTCATTATCATTATATACAGAACATATACATTGAATTTAGGAAAACCAAAATTGAAAGGCTACATAAAACTGTAGGCTTCGAGGTCAAAAGAAAAGTCTTACGGCGTCAAAGGAAAAGTTCTGCTGTCTACGGATCATTAAATATTGTTTACATTAACCCAGTGCTCTGAATAATTTTGAAAAAAGGCCACAGATGTTTTGTTCCAGCCATTTCACACATTGGACACGTTCACCAATGCCACCTCCATTTCACAACAGAAGCATCGCAGCTGAAGTTAGAAACCCCAATTGTGAATAAATGCCTTGCTACCTCCTAGCAGAATGATCTAAGACAAATTAATAACACCTTTCTGAGGCTATTTTCTCATCTGTAAAACAGAATACGGCTTTACCTACTTTTCAAGTTGTAAGAATAAATGAAATAAGGTACATGAAAATACTTTTGTGAATTATACAAAAAAAAAAACATTCAGTTGTAAAAGATTCTGATCAATCACTTCTCCATATGAAAAGAGTCAAAAAACAAGCACTCAATCTCAACAAATACACAAGATAGCAACTAAACTGAAAAAGAATTTAAAGAAAATGCAGACAGTATTGATCTGCGGCTTACCGCCATATTTCATTTAGGCACAGTCTAGATTCTGAGCAGAACTTGATTTTCATGGCTGCACTAATTTCTATGTCAAGACATGTAGCCACGTCTTATGAGTCAAAAATCATCACACAAAAACCATGAAAGCCAGACTGTATTTTTCTGAACCCTCAGGCCAAGAGAGGTGCTGTATTTTGTTTTATGTTCATTCCTTCTTCATTATGCCATTGCAGGTTATAAAGCTGAGGGAAAAAAACAGAATACTTACAGCTGCAGACACTATCTGGGCAGAAATTCCCTTCAAAAGTGAATGTCGCATAACTGATCCATGGAGTGAAAAAGAATCAAGTAATTTCTTCTTCCTAAAAAAAAAAAGAAAGAAAGAAAGAAAAGGAAAACATTTAAAAACAGACCAAAAAAAGTGAAAAGGCAAGGTCCCAATGCTTTGAAAGCAAACACACACACACAAAAAGCAGAAGACACCACTTTATGTTAATTTGTTAGATCTGTTTTTAAAAGAGGTATGAAGAATCTAACCATTCCACCTTAAAATGTATTAAACCCACCTTGAACCTCAAAGCAGCACAAGCAGGAAAATGAATAAAATCGCCATTCCTTTCTCATGGATTCAAACTGCTCCACGCCCACCTTAGGTAACACAGCAGTAGGTTCTGATGCTCTCCAGAAGGCTGCCTACAGAGCACTCCTCCTGCCTGTGAGTCCGTATCACCTCTGCTGCCTTCCTACTGTTGCTCACCTTTCCTGCGCTGCTCCTCCTATGACTACCCTCTCATTCTTCAACCAACCACCTCCTCAAATTCCCCCTCTACTCATCATCATACAAAAAAGTAACTGTTAAACTTTTACCCAACATTTCTGAGCACGACTCTGTATGACTAGAAGTATGCTCTGGAAACACAAAAATAAGAAAGTCACAGTTACTACTGTCAAGGATCTCATAGCTTAGCTAGAGGGGCTGATAAATAACTCTTGAAGGATAAATGTTAGACTAGAAATATGAATTACGTACCACATAAATGCAAATGAAGAACAGTTTAATTCTGTTTATTTGGGGATATTAGGGATAGCTATAGAAAAGTGAAGATAAACCGGGCATGGTGGCTCATGCTTGTAACCCCAGCACTTTGGGAGGCCAAGGTGGGCAGATCACAAGGTCAGGAGTTCAAGACCAGCCCAACCAACAAGGTGAAACTCCGTCTCTCCTAAAAATACAAAAAATTAGCGGGGCATGGTGGCACACGCCTGTAGTCCCAGCTACTCGGAAGGCTGAGGCAGAAGAATCGCTTGAACCCAAGAGGTGGAAGTTGCAGTGAGCCGAGATCGTGCCATTGGACTCTAGGCTGGGCGAAAGAACAAGACTCTGTCTCAAGAAAACAAAAAAAAAAAAAAAAAAAAAAGAGAGAGAGAGATGACTGATTTGACCTTGATGGAGGACTAGGAGTCTGTCAGGGAAAAGCATGAGCAGAAATGTGAAGGTGTAAAGGTGTGCAGTGTGTCTGGGGTGCACACACACCAAAGGTACGGCGAGGAGGCCTGAGGGGAGAGTGCTTGCAGACCAGGTCAAACAGTGAGCACAGTCCAGACTGAGGCCACGCACACGAGCTCTGACTTTATCATGCAGGCGACAAGATGGTACCATATCTTTTAAGCAGGTAGTGACCAGATCATCAAAAACATTTATCTATTTGAAGAACACAGGGCCAAACAGGTTAACACAGCCAGCAACGACACCTATCCCACAAGAGAGAACCCAAAGAAAAGAGCATCGACACAGGCAAAACTGAAGAAGAAAAATAGATTACTTTATCAATATTGAAGTAACACATGAATTCAATCATGTATTTCTATTATGATTCCTCTACTTCTCTTTCCTTTTCATATTCTCTCCAAGAACTCTGAAGCAGCCCAAATTTAAGTTACTTAGGGTTAGAAGTCCTTTTCCCACATTTTTAGGCATCTTTGTGATTCTCCGAACCCACTCCAAGAGAATGAAGGCAGGCAGATCTGACAGAATGCAGGTGGCAGGGAGGTGCGGGCGGGTGCAGGGAACGGGAGGGTGGTGAACCCAGCTGTGTGTTTCCACCACAGACACTGTGCCAGGTTTGACCTGTGCTTCCTCCAAGGGCTCTACTGCTTCCTGGAGTCCCTGGCTATCATTATGGCTTCCTACTGGGAGTTCAGATGGTGGTCATAGCACCTACCCTTTTACGTTCTTCCTCAATGGTGTCAAAATCTTCAAAATATTATATCCACACAGGTGGACCTTCTCCTTCCCATGCAGGGCTTCAACAGACCATATTGTACTTTAAAAAGTACATTTGAAACAATCAAATACTTCAACTGTAAGCAAGTATGACTGATATGAATACCTACCTTTTTAAGTTGGTCCTGTCACCACTGTCTGAGCTTGCCACAGATGATGTATCATAGGAGTGAGAATCAACAGTATCAATGTTTAACAATGTAGGGTCCTCAAGAACAAAAGACTCATCTTCATCATCAGTCTAAAGTGGAAGAAGATAAATCAATACATTCAAAATCCAAATACTCTATGAAGTAAGCCAGGCATTAATGGTTTCTGCAGAGCACACAAGTGCTTATTTCTGCTTTTCACCTCTATGCCATGCATTCTTATTGACCTGAAAGGCACCATACAGAATTAGCAGTATTAAATTCTAGATAGATCTCTCTCTCTACAAAGAATTCACCCCCAAAACTTCTTTCTTGTAGCAGGAAGAAGCAGGAGCAGTTATGTGGATTATCGTTAACTGTAGAATATTTCTTAAAAATCAAGCTTTTACAGATGATGTGGCAGTTAACTAACAGCCAATGGCTTATCTGAAGAAAACAAATACCATCTGACTATAAATGGTTTACTATAAAAAACAGTAGACAAGCATACACAAAAAGGCATTCTGGGTAGAAAACAGCACAGAAAGACACAGTGATTTCACAATACAGATTTTGCCCATGGAAAAAGTAGTAGTCCAAAATGTCTGGAGGATATAAGCAGAGGTGGAGATGACCCTAGGAAGATAAGCTGGTACGCAAACCACAAAAAGCCTTATATCCCATTACACTAGATGGCAGCAGGGCCCACGTCTATCCTGTTCACCATTGTACCCCTAGTGCCTAGTATAATTTAGCCTGACACAAAATCAGTTCTCGTTTAATAAATATTTAGTATACTATATATAGTAGGCAGTGGGAAGGCAACTGACATTTTTAAGAAGTGGAAAGACATGATGGGAACCATGTTTTGAAAGAGAAGTGGGGCAGTATGAAGAATGGATGAGGGGAGAGAACAAGACTTTAAGGACCAGTAAGAGGGCTACTGCACTATCAAGGAAAAACAAGAGATCCCAACCTAAGAAGCTGCAGAAGAGGTCAACAGAGGGAATGATGACACACATTACTGAGAAAAACTCACATGTCTCTGGTTACCATTTTAATGGGGGGTACAGTAGGGGCAGGGATGGGAGGAGAGGCAAGGGAGACGTCAAAGAGGAGTACAGGGTTCCCAGCCTGAACAGCTAAGCAAAAGCTGACTCTACTTGCTGAAATTAGAAAGCAGACGAACGGCAGATAAAGCAGGATGAGGAACCTGGCTTTGCACAAGTTGATGCTAAGGGACAAAGGCATCAGATAATGATGTCTCACCATGTGTTTCAGCTGGACTGCCTTCTGACTTACCATTTCCAATCAATGTGCTTGAGAGAGTGACCTCTACTCACTACCTCAACTCTGTCCCCTCATTACAAGCTCCTACCGGTCTTGCTGATGTGACTAGCCAAATCCACCGGCCTGCTTTCTGTTAGCATGTTCTTATCCTCTGGGTGTCATTTAACCCTGTTGACCACTCCTTGTCACCCAGGCTGGCATGCAGTAGTGCAATCACAGCTCACTGCAGCTTCAAATTCCTGGGCTCAAGCAGTCCGCCACTCCAGCCTCCACAGAGCTGGGGCTCCACGTGCATGCCACCACGCCTGGCTCATTCACTCCATCTTGAAACCTTCTTTTCCTTTGGTTTTTGGTACATCTCTCCTTCCTGGTTCTCTGGTAACTTATGTGTCCTCCTATTAGTCACATGCCCTACCTTCTTCTCAGCCCAACCTTTAAATACGATTGTCCCCCAGGATTCTATTCTAAGCTCTTTTCTTTTCTTCCTATTTCACGTACTTCCTATTTGAGCAAGCTCATCCATATCTATAGCTTTAAGAACCATGTTATCTAATGACTCCAAAATCTGTGTCTTTAGCATCAACATTTCTCAAGGTTTAGGTACAAATTTACAACTGCTTTCCAGAGATCTCTACACATAGGTCTTCTAAGAACCGGGTTAGGACTGGCAATAAGACATTATGTTGCTTGAGTGCTGTAAAGATTGGAAGAACTGCTATAGGAAAAGGGAAGGAAATAATTGAGAAGTAAGAACAGCAGCATCAAGATCTTAAGCAAGAGAGTCAATCAAAATGTTATTTGATTGTCTTAAGAAGCCTGGGGACATAATTAAAGAAAATGGATCGGATGAATTAAGCCAGGCTTACAGGATAAGCGAAAGAAAGAGTGAAGGGGAAAAAAGAAGTGAGGATGTCAAGGCTGAATTTAAAACTACTGCTACACAGTAAAAATGTCAATTAGCCCCAAACTGATGTGAAAACGCTGCACAATCCTTTCAAATTTCAGCTGATGTGTGTGTGTGTAAACTGATAAACTAATTCAAAAACTTACATGAAAATGCAAAAAAAAACCACAAGAATAAACAAGGCAATTTTGAAGAATAACATCGGAGCTGGAGACTTTAAACTACCAGATAGCAAGACCTACTATAAAAATTCAATCACCAGAATGTGAGATTGAGGCAAGTACAGACTCACCTACAGACTCAGATCCACACATTTGATCACCTGATTTATAACAAAGGTGACACCAGATGAGACTACTCTTTTTAGTAAAGCGTGCTGGCTCGGAGCTCACACTACCACACCCAAAAATTACAGATCTACATATCAGAGGAACAACAATGAAGATTTTAGAACAAAATAGGGTGAGATCATCATTACCTTGGAATTGGCAAAATTTTCTTAAATAGGACACAAACAGACACACACACACAAATGGAAAATTTTAATAAGCTGAACTATATTAAGAACTTATGCTCCTCAAAAGAAACCATTAATAGAGTGAAAAGGTAACATACAGAAGGAAAGACGATACAATAATTATATCAAATAAAGGGCTTGTATTAGCATATATAAAGAACTCCTATAAATCACTTAAAAAATAAAACAACAGAAGTGGGCCAATTATATGAAAAGGCAATTCACAAAAGGGATATCCAAATGGTCAAAACATATGTCAAGGTACCCAATTTCATTAGTCTTCAGGGAAATTCAAATTAAAATCATGACGTGATAGCACTACACACCAGTTAAGAATGACAGTGAAAAAGAAAAGTTCAAAAGTTTATAAGGATACAGTAATCAGAAATCCCATATACTGCTGCTGGAAATGTGTATCAACACCACCACTTTGAAAAACTGTGTCAACACCACAGCTAAATATAACTACGTCTGATGACCCACTAACTCTACTCCTAGGTATATGTCCAATAGCAATGTGTGTCACGCTGGGCACAGTGGCTCACGCCTGTAATCCCAGCACTTTGGGAGCCAAGGCAGGCAGATCACCTGAGGTCAGGAGTTTGAGACCAGCCTGACCAATATTGCAAAACCCAGTCTCTAGTAAAAATTGTAAAAAATTATCCAGGTGATGGTGCACACCAGTAATCCCAGCTACTTGGGAGACTGAGGCACAAGAATCACTCAAACCCGGGAGGCGGAGGTTGCAGTGAGCCCCAATCGCACCACTGCACTCCAGCCTGGGTGATGGAGAGAGACTCTATCTCAAAAAAAATAAATAAATAAAAATAATAATTATTATTATCTTTTACCAAATAATCATTGTAGTAATCATGTGGTAGTTAACGAAATANAAAAAAAAAAAAAAAAACAATGAAAACAAACAAAAACCAGAAATGTGTGTAAGTATGGATACACGAAAACAAATGAATAAGAAAATTTAAAGCAGCACTCTTCATAGTAGCCAGAAATTAGAAACTACACAAATACTTATCAACAGTAGAAAAAATAATGCTATATTCATATAGAATTTTATACAGCAGTGTGAATAAATGAACAATTAATTACACACACAAAAATGAATAAATCTAAAAACATAATATTGAGGGAAAGAAGTCAGAAACAGAAGAGAACATACTATATAATTCCACTTACATAAAGTTCAAAGCAAGCAAACTAATCAATGCTGGTGGAAGCTGGAGTGGTAATTAACCGGGGTTTGGGTACTGAAGGGGCACAGGATGAGCTTCTAGGGTACTAGCAATGCTTTGCTGCTTTATCTGGATTCTGGTTACACGGGTTGTTCAGTTTGTAAACATTCACCACACAGTACACCTATGATTTGTACAACTTCCTCTATGCATGATATACTTCAATAAAAAGTTTGAAAGAAATTTCTGGCTGCACAATTCAACAGCAGCATTGAAGTAAACCCAAGGCTATTCTCGGAGACTAGCAGATTAGAAAGAGTCAAGAGACCTGGTCTTGATGAGGCCAAAAAAACAAGCTCGATGGATGGGAATGGGGAAAAAGGGTTATAGTTAGAGAATGGAATTTCAAAATTAAAAATCTCAGAAGCATAGTTTCAAAGGATGGCAATACCTAGTAACATTATTTCACACCCTAAATTCTGAGATCTAGGATGTCTTAGTAATCTCTAAATTTCTACTTTAAAAAGTGTCAGCCACATATGATGGCTCATGCCTGTAATCTCAAAACTTTAGGAAACCGAGGCAGACAGATCACTTGAGGTCAGGAGTTTAAGACCAGCCTGGCCAATATGGTAAAAACCTGTCTCTGCTAAAAATATAAAAATTAGCCAGGCGTGGTGGCACGTGCCCATAATCCCAGCTACTTGGGAGACTGAGGCAGGAGAATCACTTGAGCCCAGGAGGTAGAGACTGCAGTGAGCCAAGATTGTGCCACTGCACTTCAGCCTGAGTGACAGAGTGAGACTCCATCTCAAAAAAAGAAAAAAACAAAACCTGGATGTCCACTTCTTCCCAGTATCTCTTAAGGCTGGTATTAATGAACATTGTGGAATATATGCATCCACATATTCTGGGAAAAGGGTTTATTTACACTTTCTACTCTGGCCCTTTTCACTTTTTCTTCAGTCATTCTCTTTACTACTCCCCACGGTCCCCTCACAGTCTTTATGATGGTCTACAATTTGAACTATGTTTTCTTCCACATACGACTTGCCTGGTTCCCTGGAGGTGTAAAGGCTGGCCGGTTCCCAGCCTCGTTTCCCTCCCAAGCACAGAGACAGTCATACAGCACTTTATAACCCAACATCTAACACCATGACCCAAATACACTAGCCACTCAAACCACTATTGAGGGTGATAACAGTACTATCTTCTTAGTAAACCACTAATGACTGTCCTTACTGTTACTCACAGATAAGAAAGTTCTTGTGCAAGAAGTTTTCCTTCATGATGATCTACAGCTCATTCCGATGAGCGTTGTTTTCTTTGCTGATATTATATAATGATGTACAAGGCCTTATACACAATCCTCTAAGATTTTTATTTTACACTTAATAAGATAATTGAAATGAGGATGTGATTAAGACCATTTTAACAAAATTGACTAAAATTAATCTCCTCGTCTCTAAATGAAAGATTTCCTCTACATTAGAAAGTAAATAAAGGACATTTCACTGTAACAGAATATTCTTTCATGGACCAAAGCCTTCTTTGTCAAAACTAAAAATGCCTAAGTCTTAACACAGAACATACAGAACACTTCTGAAGTTAAAACACATTCAAAGATAAAATACATTCAAAGTAACAGCAACATCCAGCTGATGCAAAACATAGAAATAAAAGCCATACAAGAAAAATAAAAGATATAATTGACAGAGAAAGACATTTGTGTCCTATAAAGTGTTGCCTGTAACACTAAAAGAACGGGCAAAGAAATCCTACAGTCAGAGACCCAACTCACTGGGAGCTCTGGTACACATGGGCCTTTCTGTCAGGGAACGTTTGCATCCTTATCTTTTGGAAAACATAACTGTGGATTTGAAATAGATTTATATGTTACAAGGTCTTCCTCAAATTAGAAGCTAAAACCTCCAAGGGAAGTCACAAGCAAGTTTTTAAAAGATGAAGAGGACTGGGTTGAAGGGTTGTCAGCAGATTCAAGGGACATAAAACAGGCATGCTTCACCAACCACGTACTCTCACATTAGAAAGTCCCTTTAGAAAGCCTTTGATCCCCCAACTGAGAAAAGAATACCACCATTTCAAAACTCTGAAAACCTTTTTAATAGAAATGGTAATCATAAGATAAACTATAAAAGATTGGTTTTCTTCATACAGAAGAGTGATGAAGCTCATTACAAGGTTGCACAATGTTCTTTAGTGTCAGAGGGCAAGCTATTTGAATATCAGTGGTAGAGAAAACTTACCATTAGCAACACATAATACAAACTTCAAAAGTGACATAAATCTTGCATCTCTATTTACTTAATAAAATATATTTTCTTTTATTTTTTTGAGATAGAGTTCTTGTTGCCCAGGCTGGACTGCAGTGGCGTGATCTCAGCTCACCGCAACCTCCACCTCCTGGGTTCAAGCAATTCTTATGCCTCAGCCTCCTGAGTAGCTGGGATGACAGGCATGCACCACCACACCTGGCTAATTTCATATTTTTAGCAGAGATGGGGTTTCTCCATGTTGGCCCCGACCTCAGGTGGATCCACCCGCCTCAGCCTCCCAAAGTGCTGGGATTACAGGTGTGAGCCACTGCGTCTGGCCCAATAAAACATATCTTAAAGTCTGCCAAGTATCAGGCATTGTGCTGGGCATGGAGATTCTAAAGAGGAACAAGACATGGTTTCTGCCCTTGAGAAGCTCCAATCTAGACTACTGTTGTCCAAGAGAACTTTCTGTGATGACAGAAATACTCTTTATCTATGCTGTCCCCTAGCCACATAGCAGCCACCAGCCACATGTGGCTCCTGAGCACTTGAAATGTACCTTGTGCAACCAAGGAATTTTTTATTTGATTATAATTAATTTAAAATTTAAATCGACACACACGACTAGTGGCTGCCCTACTGAATTGTGCACATCTGGGTGCATGTATGATAACTAACCCAAAAAGTATTAAGATTCATGCCACGAAATGACAGTAATCATTAATATTCACTTACCTCATTTAGTATGCTTTCCAGCGTTGGAGGCGTATCAACTTGAGGAATATCAAACTCCTTGTCATCAATCTAAATAAAGAAAAAAAAATAATGCTCACAAAATGATGCCTTTCCCCTTATAATTGCAAGGAGTTTTCATTGATTCAAACCAACATCAATTAAAAGACAAACTTACCATCAAAATGATCACAAAATCAACTCAAAAATCCGTAGAAATAATCAAGTCAAGACTACAGAGTGGTTTCATTTCCTCTCTACACAGTTACTATGAAGGACAAATATGCACTAACTACATTAGCCTGACAGCCCTTTCCAGAAAGCTTTATTATTATTATTATTTTGAGTCTCGCTGTAACGCCCAGGCTGGAGTACAATGGTGCAATCTCAGCTCACTGCAACCTCCACCTCCTGGGTTCAAGCGATTCTCCTGCCTCAGCCTCCTAAGTAGCTGGGATTACAGGCACGTGCCACCATGCCCGGCTAAATTTTTTTGTATTTTTAGTAGAGACCGGGTTTCACCATATTAGCCAAGCTAGTCTTGAACTCCTGACCGCAAGTGATCCGCCTGCCTTGGCCTCCCAAAGTGCTGGAATTACAGGCATGAGCCACTGCGCCTAGCCTACTTTCCAGAAAACTTCTGTTGAAAGAGTTTTGCATCTGCTTTCTTAAACATGACAAAACAACATCTAAGACAACCCCTAATTTTCTAAGTTTAGACATAAGTCATAAACAATAAGCAAAAGTCTGACATCACATTTCTTAGTTATTTCATAAATTATGGGGAGAGATAATCAGGTCAAGCAACTTGTCATTAAATATTCTCATACTTGCAGAAATCCATTAACATAATATTAAATCAAAGGGAGAAAAAAAATGCTGTGCAAGATAAGAAACCTACCACCGGCTCTGCGACTTTGAGAGGTCATTTAACATAGCCGCATGCCAGTGTCTTCACCTATACAACGGATTATCAGAGTGTTGTGAGAGTTGTGAAGCTCAAATGACAACATGAATCAAATCATTTCATAAACTGTAATGGACTATCCAAATGAAGGGCGATGTTATCTCATAAAACCATACACATGGGAGGCCAGGAAGGGAGGATTGCTTGGGTCCAGGAGTTTGGGAACAGCCTGGGTGACACTGTGATACCCTCTCTACAAAAAATTAAAAATAAGCCGGGCGTGGTGGCATACATCTATGGTTCCAGCTGCTTGGGAGGCTGAGGCGGGAGGATCACTTGAGCCCAGGAGTTTGAAGCTTCAGTGAGCCATGTTTGCACCATTGTACTCCAGCCTGGACAACAGAGTGAGACCCTGTATCAAAAAAAAAAAAAAAAAAAAAAAAAACTATACAGAGACTCCTATTAACCCATGCAAAAATGACAGGCTTAGAGTCTCTGGGTCATAAAGCATACTCTAACCAACTCTGGTTAAACATCATCACTTGACAAAAGTGGAAATTTTTACCAGATCATTTTTGAACTCCAGTTCCTTGTCCAGATCTATGTAAGAGAATTTTGAAAGTGAAGCTTCTAGATTGAAAGACTTATTCAGCTCTTCTTCGGCAGTCTTGGCGCAGAGGCTCTGTTCCACATTTTCATGGTCTGGTTCACTTTCCATATTTACTTTTAATAACAGTATTCAGTTCATCAAAGCAAGCGTTTTTTGTTTGTTTGTTTGGCCTTAGCTCAGAAAGACCTGAATGATGATCTCTTTTCAAAAAAAAAAAAAAAAAAAAAAAAAACCAGTATCATTTAGATTTCCTCCTTGTCAATTGGACATTCCAAAGATTTACTTGGTCAGACTTCACTTAATCATCTAATTGCAGGCAAAGTAAAATCAACAGTGGCTACAGGGCATATTACTGGGAGAGGGTTTCAACGAGAGAACAAAGGAGGAACACCTAACTTGGGCTCGAGGAGTCTGGGAAGTGGCCCCCCCACCCAAAGCCATGAAACTGGTGATAGTGATGACTTAAGAGGCTCGGCCACCAGACCTGGTACCTAGATTTATTTACCTAACAGCATAAGGGTAAACCGGTGCCAAAGGCTTCAATTAACGCCTTTCTTATGCTCCAAATCCCAGGGTAGTGCTCCGGTTCTCCTGGAAATAAGCATATAAGGCAGTTTTGGTTTTTGCCGCTGCACCGGGCCAGAGACATCTCTGGGAGCTTAGCACAGACACTGGGGATGAACAACTAGTTATTTAACACAACACTAGCAAACCTAAGAGTTCAGATCTACCAAAGGAAACAACAATGACCCCCAAGATGAAACAATTCCATAGCCTACCAGAGATTTCTAAAAAGGGAGCTAGTCAGAGAGAATCATGGACACTTTCAGGGAAAAACGAAATACTAAAGAAAACTAGAAATGCATATAGCTTTTTATTTCATATTTCCCAGCTCTAAATAATAGATCACTCTTATTTCAAAAATGACAGATAATTTGGTTTACTTGCAAAACTGTCAGTTCTAGAAAGCTAAAAATATACTTACAACCTAAGTTTAATAATTAAGTTTGCTTTTAAATTATTTTATGTTGTGTTTCAATTAGGCTACAAGTGACCCAACTTTAAAAAGTCCATTTAGCTTTAACTGTTTAGAATAAAGCAAAAATATGAAGACAGAAACAAAGCCCTAACAATAATAATAATGAAGGTCACTTTGTTTTCTAAACTAGATATTTTTCACAGTACCAAATAACTGGCAAAACTCTCAGGGCAAAGCTCTTTCAAACTACATACTGCCCTTCGTGGGCATAAACACCACTACCACCAACCACCTTTCCCCTGGAGTGAGCTGCTCTTACTTAGTAAATTAGATTGTGCATGTTAGTAATGACAGATTGTGCATGTTAGTGAAGGCAGAAAAAAAGGCTTACAATTACTGAGCCACTTAATTTCTTTTAAGAGATGGAGTCTCACTATATTGCCAAGATGGCCTCCAACTCTTGGGCTCAAGCCATCCTCCAGCCTCAGCCCCCTGAGTAGCTGGGAATACAGGCATGTACCAACTGTGCTCAGCTTGAAATAACTAATTTATTTAAATGAACTGTGATTAGTTGTTTTTAAACAACATGGGAAAAATTCACTGACAATTTTATCTAATGAGGCTCATTATTTTAGTACCTATAGTTAATTTCACTTCCTTTGATGTTTCATTTTTATCATATTAAAAGAAATGTTACTTTGTATAAATCATGGACTCATGAAACTGACTTTTCAAGAGCCGAAGCCAACTTTTCTAGCTACTACACTATTTGGTATATTACCAAATACAGACTAATTTCTTACACATGCTACAGAAAATAGACTCTAAGATTGTGCCCTATAAAACACACGCTATCAAACACATTCCTAGAACACATGACTGAGGCGACTCTGCCTGGCAACATTTTAAAATATCTTTCCAACATCAGGTACTAAATACAGGGCTCCTTTTGTAATAATCCAAATGCAGTAGCAATACTAACATTTATATGCATTTCTTCAAAGACCTTGGCTCATGACAAATTACTTTTTAATAAAGTCTTTCAATTCCTATCTGCATCACTAAGCAAAAATGGTTACAATTATTTAAGAACTATTTACAAACATGCACAATCTAATTCACATTCAATGGTTCCTAAAGACAGTTATTAACTTTTATTCTTATGCATTTTTCAAAAATAGTATAAAGACCATACAGCAAAATAATATTTATTTAAATGATTTAATAATCTAAAATGTTTCATATTTTATATTTGACTTTCCAAAATAACTCAGAGGGAAAACAATTTTTTCCAGCTCTTTTTATCCCATATCTGGAGTTATTTAGAGGTTCCAAGACCATATAACAATCTAGCATCTCTGAACACCAACATGACACTGAACAAGTATCAAGCACTCCCTGAAGACATCATCCTGCCAAGCTACCCTGCCCCATTTCTGACCTTCACTTCACTGAGCTCCTTTTGCCGATGAGATGTGGTGGCAAAGCGGAAAGAACATAAATAAGCCAGAGTCTATTAAACTCAGGTCTACTGTTGTGGCCACTTTTCTTAGAAATGACCAGGAAAGAAACACCTTTCCCTGCCCTCCCAACACCCCCAAAAATAAAATACACAAATCAAGTCTGAATCTGGACTTTAGGAGTTCCCATCTGTGACCTTGGCCAATTTGTTTACTTTTTCTGAACCCCTTCTACTTCTCCATTGGTAAATGGAATATTGTGGACATCTGTGTTGTTTGCTCAGAATAGCGCCTCCTTCTGGGAAGGGCTCCTTCAAACCATGTGCTTCTTGTAGAGGCTGACGGTCAAAATTCCATTAGATCCCACACTCCCCACCCACTCTCTTCTGCAGAAAGGAAACCATTCATTTAACACACATCCACTAAACACCTACTATGCATCTGTCACTGGAGACCTACCTTTATTGACAGAACTTAGGTTCTAGGTACAGATTCTCTGGAAAGAATGAAACCTATAGAAAAAACTAAGTAGAGAAGAGAGTCCTGACATCATTCAACCCTCAGACTGTAGTCTTCTATCAAGTGAGCTCTGCCCATAGCCTCTGGCAGTTTGGCTATGTAAGCCAACATACGCTCTCCCAATGTCCCCCTTTCTTTTAGCACTTAAAATGGACAGTCCTGACTCTCAGGAATGCAACTACCTATCCTGCAGGGCTACTGTGAGGAACAAATGATATAAGCATTTAGAAGGATCTCAGGACATAATTTTCAAAAGATACTAGCTATTATATTTAAAACCTCAAGATTTTCAAATTTTTCTCAAGATTCTAAGACAAAATCTACTATTTCTGTAAAGGTCTAGCCAGTGCTAAGCATATCAGAACAATGTCCTTGATATCACAGCAGTTCTTCATGAGCTGAATGGTCGGGGTTTTGTCTTATTACAGCTACCGCCAAAGCATCAGAGACAATTCATAAAAACTTGAATTACAACAGAAGTGTCTCATGTGACTAACTAATCATGGATTTTTTTAACATCAACATCAGTCTACACTTTACTAGTGATGCCACCTATGTCCCCTTCCCAAGTTCTCTCTTGTCCCTTACCAGCAGTTACTCCTTTCTTCATTTTAGTCAGTAAGCTTTTCCAACCCAAATAGACCTGATGAATCAAAAGGTCATCATGCTCAAATCTTTTTTTTTTTTTTTAAGAATTTGCATCAGTTGCCAATCAAATTTTTTTAAAAGGAGAGTTCAACTTGAGCACCTTCTGTGAATTTTTCAGAAAGTACCTGAGCTGGGAATCTACCTGTGGTAGGTAATATAAAGGCACCCAACAATGCCCGTCCTAATTCCCAGAAACTATGAACATGCTTTTTTACATGGCAAAAGTGATTTTGCAGGTTAAATTAAGACTCGACAGGAAGATTATTCTGGATGATTTGGGTGCGTCTATAATCACAAAGGTCCTTAAAAGCGGGAGAGAGGCAGAAGAGAACGCCAGAGAAAGAGATGTGACACAAGAAGCAGCATCAGAGAGACGCCATGTCACAGGCATCGAAGGTGGAGAACGGCGCTCAGGAGCCAAGGATGCAGCATCAGAGAGACGCCACGTGACAGGCACTGAAGGTGGAGAACGGTTCTCAGGAGCCAAGGACGCAGCATCAGAGAGACGCCATGTCACAGGCATCGAAGATGGAGAAGAGCACTCAGGAGCTAAGGATGCAGCATCAGAGAGACGCCATGTCGCAGGCATCGAAGATGGAGAACAGCGCTCAGGAGCTAAGGATGCAGCATCAGAGAGACGCCATGTCACAGGCACTGAAGATAAAGGGCGCTCAGGAGCCAAGGATGCAGCATCAGAGAGACGCCATGTCACAGGCATTGAAGGTGGAGAACGGCGCTCAGGAGCTAAGGATGCAGGCAGCCTCTGGAGCTGTGAGAGACAAGGAAACAGACTGTCTCCTAGAGCCTCCAGGACTCAAGTTCTGTCTTGACATCTTAATTTTAGTGAGACTGGGGTCAGACTTGTGAAGTATGCAACTGTAAAATAAATCTGCGTTGTTTTATACCACTAACTTTATGGTGATTTATGGCAACAGTAGGAAATGGACAGTTGACCCTTGAACAACACAGGTTTGAACTTCAACAATCCACTTACAGGTGGATTTTCTTCTGCCTCTTCCACCCAAGACATCGAGTTCAACCCCTCCTTCCCCTCCTCAGCCTACTCAACATTTAGACAAGGATGAAGGCCTTTATGATGGCCCACTTCCACTTAATGAAAAGCAAGTATATTTCCTCTTCTTTAGAATCTTAGTATCTCCTTTTCTCTAGCTTTCTTGATTGTAACTATACAGTATACGATAAAAGGAACACACAAAATATGTGTTAAACAACTGTTAATGTTATCAGTAAGCCTTCTGGTCAACAGTAGGTAGTAGTAGCGAAATCTTTGGGGAGTCAAAAGTTGTACTTGGATTTTCCACTGGTTGAGGGGGCGCTGCCCTTAACCCCTGCATTGTTCAAGGGTCAATTGTACTAATAAATATAAATTAATGTTTCTGGTCCCATATCCAACATTCTGAAATATTAACCCTGCCCTTGTGGGTTGGTGTTGCCCATGTGTTTACTAAGCAAGCCCTTCATTTCCACATATGCACGAATGATGAAATGGTTCTTATATGATGCTTAATATTTCACACTTGAGATACAGGTCCTGCTTCAGATATCACATAAATGTTATCCCAGTACAAAGGCTGATAATGAACCACTCATAAATTCCTATTGAGATGCAATTCTACAACTAGTTCTTCACCCAACCATCATGTGAGCTAGCGTTTTTATAGTTCTTAGGGGACACCGTACCAAACAGTACCTGCATATAACAAAGTGCAAGTTACACCAAGTATCTCTTACTCTCTCTTAGAATGAAATCAGATTAATCGGATAGGAAATATATGTCATGGAATTGCAATGACCCAGTATACTGTCCTCTTCTGAGTGCTGATAAACGAGAATTTTAATAATTCAGACATAAGATTATCAGTTATTTCCTCTTGTTATTCCCAACCAATTAATAATAGATTCAAGGACCATTAAAAAAAGATAGGTACCATATAAACAGCAATGACTTGATTATGACACTGGCT